GAGTGAACAGATTGGCCCAGATATTCCGGACCACATTTCACCAAAAACTGCTGTTTGTCAAACCGCCGTCAACACCTACCAAGCGGCGAGTAGGCCTTCGGCCGTACTCGGCAATCTTCGTAGCCAATCAGGTTGCCGCTCGCCGCCCGTAATCTCAGTAATCTCGAAGATGGTTCGGCTCCTACACCTACACCACCCTACCCTACCCACCCTACATTTTTCAAATTTTGGCTGGCATTGGCATTCGGCCTGATTCTCCCTTCCTCTTTTCCGTAATTAATAACAATAAAAAATTCATTTAGTCATTGTTTAGCGGCACCTTGTCCAATTTGTGCCTAGAGCCTACAACTAGGCAAGTTTGGACGTTACCTTTTGAACATTTCATCCCTTCCCTTTGAATACTCTTCACATATCACATGGGACCTTTATCTGCATATTTACTTGGCTTTTTTCGTAAAGGATCTTTTAAGAAGTAAATTCTCTCGATAACTTATTGGGGATGGTCAAGTTACCAATTAGAGCCAACCATTCCATGCCATTATTATTACAGGACAATGTTTCTTTCCTATAATTTGGTAGGCACCGTAAGAATTATACGTAACCTCAGTATTTGATCCGTGCCTTAAAAAATGAGCCACTTGTGGCAGAACCATCTTGGTGATGTTCTATAGGAATTTTAACCTTATTCTATTTTTTCAGCAGACGAACCTCACATGGTTACTTGTAAAGTCTTGCTTCATTTTCCTTGAGTTCTACTTAGTTTAGTGCCAAACAACAAGAAAATTCATGGAGAAACATGCCTTAAAGGTGATAGTTCCCCCTCATACTTACTGTCAGAGTTCCGATGGAAAAAATTTTGTTGTCATAGGTAAATACGGTTTCCATTGTTTCTTCAGCTGCTAATAGACAACTATGCAGGTTTGCTGGAGAATTTGGTGACTGCTAGGATTGTTAATTGGTATCTCCGAAGTTTGGTTGTTATAGCTACACTTGAAGCATTGGCTTCAACGCAACGCAAAACCAGAACCTTGGAGAGACCAGAGAACATCCATAAGAAAGTAAGTGAGGAGCAAGGTATACCTATCATTGTACATCCATCTAGTTTTCACAACTACCGTTACTGGAGATTTAGGATTCAGATTTGCACATCAACCAATAAGTTTTTCGCCCCATCATCTTGAGATAGAGGCTGCCATGCAAGGCGCAGCCAGGTAGTCCAATGCTCATGGCAAGGCGCAGCCAGGTGCCAGGTAGTCCAATGCTCATGCCACTCAATCAACACAAATATTATCCTAACTTACTACAAAATGGCTTGTTTCTTCTCTAACAATGGAACCGGAAAATGTTACTTTAGACGCGCAGGAAACTTCTTTGGTCGAGATGAAGAAAGAAACGTAAATGAAGAAATGAGTCCGGAACATCTCGACCAGGTACAGGAGGCCGCTTTGTTTACTTTAGGAGTCCGGAGTATCTCGCTCCAATTTCACTTGAAACCACAATGAACAGATCAACGCGGTAACTGATATCTGATTTAACGAAATGGATAGATGGATGCGGACGAAAGTTCTTTTGTCGAGGTGAAGAAACGATAACGCTGAGAAAATTAGTCTGGAACATCTCGACGAGATCCGCTTTGTTTATGTCCGGACTATGTCGCCGTTTGTTTGTTTACATTAGGAGCGAGTTTGACACCGATGACAGATTTTGGTCTTTGATGAGAATTTGGTCTGGAATATCTGGGCCAAACGCAAAAACCCCTACCGGGGCACACTGATTTCTTTCCTCAGGGGCAGAGAGGGGGGAGGCACCCCCCCCCCCACCTAACCTAACTCGTCGGGGAGCATGGGATGAAGA